ACAAAGCACTAATTATAAAGATATTACAATAGCTGCAAAGGAAAAACCCAGCCTGGTTTAACACACTTGTCAGCTCCAGTTAGCTACACTCACTCCTCCTTTCAAACGGCTTTTACTCTGTGCCAGGCTCTGGAATCTCTCTGTTCTGCAAGACAAGAGGGAAAGCATCTACAAACCACAAATTGCAACAAAGTACACAGAAATCAGCACCATTTTCATTTTTAAGTGTATGCTCTTAATACATCGTCTCAAAGGTGTTTAGTTGGGCAGATTTAATAAATGCTTTGTTTTACAATATTATAGCTCGTTGATAGGCCAGTGCCAGACTAATTGACAACTGATTTCTGAGCTTACATCAGTTACAGTTATCTCTGGCAGTATGTAACAACTCCTTTGTCTGACCCGTCAAAAATAATCATTTTAAGCCTTTTTAATAGGTCTTGTTTGTGAAACATAAGATGACAGCACAAGCAAATCAATAGTTAAAAAAAAAAAAAGGCTATAAAGGGATCTGGAGTAATTAGAGTCTATTTGGAGGTTTTCCAAAAAATTAATTCCAATAAACATTCCAATTGTTGCCTAGGACTTATCTATTCACTTCAATCAGAATGAGTTCACACCCTCTTTCAAGCCCTAACCACCAAATAATATGGTTATGAGCAATCCTCCCAGCGCACAGTAAATCCTGCCCCGATAAAGAACCTTCAGCCTTGACCTTTGCAACAGAGAGAACAGGGACTGCGGAAGGCAAACAAAAAAAAAAGTCATGCCAATGGTACTATTCATTTCCAGCCAATCCCTGGAGGTTCACACATCCTTGAAAGGGGAGATTTTCATTTAAAGAGGTCACTCTCTCCAGCCCAGAGAGTGGTGGTGAATGGAGTTAAATCCAGTCGGCAGCCGGTCACGAGTGGTGTCCCCCAGGGCTGGGTACTGGGACCTGTTCTCTTTAACATCTTTATCAATGATCTGGATGAGGGGATTGAGTGAACCCTCAGTAAGTTCGCAGATGACACCAAGTTGGGTGGGAGTGTTGATCTGCTGGATGGTAGAAAGAGTTTGCAGAGGGATCCGGACAGGCTGGATGGATGGGCCAAGGTCAATGAGATGAGGTTCAACAAGGCCAAGCACCAGGTCATGCACTTGGGTCACAACAACCCCATGCAACACTCCAGGCTGGGGGTAAAGTGGCTGGAGATGCCTGGCAGAAAAGGACCTGGGGGTGTTGGTCAACTGTTGGCTGAACATGAACCAGCAGTGTGCCCAGGTGGCCAAGAAGGCCACCCGCATCCTGGCTTGTATCAGGAACAGCGTGGCCAGCAGGAGTGGGGCAGTGATTGTCCTCCTGTACCAGGCACTGGTGAGGCTTCATCTGAAGTGCTGTGTCCAGTTTTAGTCCCCTTACCACAAAAAAAGACATTGAGGTGCTGAAGTGGGTCCAGAGAAGGGCAATGAAGATGGTGAGGGGTCTGGAGCACAAGTCTTGTGAGGAGCGGCTGAGGGAGCTGGGGGTGTTCAGCCTGGAGAAAAGGAGGCTGAGGGGAGACCTTCTCGCTCTCTCCAACTCCCTGAAAGGAGGGTGTAGCCAGGGGGGGTCGGTCTCCCAAGGCACAGGTGATGGGACAAGAGGAAATCGCCTCAAGTTGTGCCAGGGGAGGTTCAGATTGGATATCAGGAAAAATTTTTACACTGAAAGGGTTATTAAGCCTTGGAATGGGCTGCCCAGGGAAGGGGTTGAGGCACCATCCCTGGAGGTATTTAAAAGACAGGTTGACACAGTGCTTAGAGACATGGTTTAGTGGTGGTTTTTTATCAGAGTTAGGTTGATGGTTGGACTAGATGTTCTTAAAGGTCCCTTCCAACCTGGACAATTCTATCATTTGGGAAAATTTGTGACAAAACTCAAGGCTCTGCAGCAAATAAGTTTGTGAAAGCAACTCAAGAAAAGGTTGGCCATTTTCACACAGTATAACTTTCATTTTAATACGAGGAACCACCACTCCACCAAACCCGTCCCCCAGCAGCCCAAGGTTAGTAACAAAGCCGATGCAGTCTGGAGGTCATCCGATAGATTTTGAAATTGATCTTTCGTAAGCGATCAGATTACCAAAACCTGCACGGCACTATCAAGGATTGCTCAAAAAAACAACTGCTGCACTTCTCTCTCTCAGAAAAGGTCACTTCTTGGTTAAGGAATAACTAACAGGAGGATGCTGGATTTTTGAAGTCGTATGAAAAGACACCTCTATTTTTTTTTGAGAGCAAGTGTTTTACACGCATTTATTAATCCTCAAGTCTCTAGAGAAATGTGTAAATAATATATTCAGCTTGTAGATGCAAAAGAAAGTAAGGTCAACCTGAATTTTCAAAACATTCCTTAATTTTTAATGCAAAATTTGAAGCAGCTAGAGACACTCTTTTTCTGAAGACCTGAAAATGTCTCAGTGGCAATTACAGCAACACGATTCACTATCTCCAAAAATTAGGTCCCACACATCTCAAGTTGGGTACCTGTCAAAATATGAAATACACAGAGAGAGCAGGTATTTCTGACTTTATTTCTTTACACATTCATTCTGAGAACCCATGGGAGGACAGGTGGGTATCACTTGAGAAGCAACTCCAAATCCTGCTTCTCTTCTTTAACTCAGAGACAACTGAAAAGAGTAGGTCAGGTATTTCCCATTTTAATTGATCTGACTGGCAAAGACTTTCTGCAGATGGACAGATGGATTATGTCAATCTCTAGCCTGCAAGGACCACCCTGTGGAAACAGGACAAGTCTCCATCACTGTGACACAGGCTAATTCACCCATTAAACTATTTCTTTAAACCCACCCATCTCCCAGACTTGGTTTCTACCAGAGAGGATGGGAGTGGGAAAACATGCGTATTTCCAAAAGTCATCGGTTGTTTTTCCAAATGTCACTCCCTGCCACAGCATGTCTGAGTCATGACAAGTGGGGATGTGACAGCACAGATTTCTGTCTCTCAAGTTCTCTTCCCAGTTCCTAAATTGAGCCTGGCATCTGAATGAGAAATGCAGCAAAGCTCTGAAGATTTTCAAACTTATCCTGCTTTGCAAGCATCTAGAGGGTGCATTTACAATATTATTTATATTTCTCTATTTAAATAAAGGCACTCTAGGTTTGCCAGAATTCTTTCAGCTCACTTCAGGCACTAGACAACATGAATTATTTTCTAGCACAAGGGAAAGTTGTCGACAATGGCTTTGGAAAGAGAAGCAGAACCTGAGCATAAATTAACCCCAAAACTTCGAAAAACCATAACGAAAACTAATCTTTCCCTTGAGCTGGTATTTAAGATTCTTCTGATGAAGCTGCAGAAGCCAAGATAATTTAGCAGCAGCCTCTCTCAAGGGCATTACATTCTAGATAGGACCCTGTTCCAAATCCTCGCTACTCCGACTAGGGTTTTGAGATCTGCTGTCTCACTGTTTGCAGGCAAATCTTGAGTGCAGTTAACGTGCCTCCACTTTTCCTTCTTCTATTAAATCACTCCATATAAATTTACTACGCTTCCTGCTTAGACTAGCAGTGGGTATTTGTGAAAATGCAAATGAAGCATTCTTCAGTCTGGCACGCTGGTTTCTCACACTAAGGCTCACCATCTCGTCTGGGATGTCAAGGCAATTGCCAACCGATCCCTCCCTTGCCAGGGGGCATCATTTACATTAAATATTCTCTCCTGGCTGCCATACGAACCATTTTTTAAACATATATCAGTGAGTGTAAACTATGCAGCGCTTGATTGGTTGCCATGTCTTAGAGAAACTATGAATAACATCCTTAATACAGCTCTGGCTAACTAAGCTTCCAAGAATCTCAATTTCCTGCCATTTTTAGTTTAAAAGGCTGAAATCAACATAGGTATTTGGCAGCTCAACAATACATGAGTTTCTGGAGGAGGGAGATATTGACACAAACAAAACCACCCCACCACACACAGCCTGTTTCATTTTAAGTACCTTCTTAAAAGCTCCACTCCCACTGTTTAGAACAAGTCTTTCAGCTGATGGCAGTAGAAAATACGTATTAAACCTGACGATTTCTTTGCTTTTCCATTTACTACCACTTGGGTTTGAGAAGTTTATATTACCAGAGGTAAGGTAAAGATTACTTCCACGGGCCACTCGCATACAGTGCAGCTTTACATCAAGAAGTATGAAATTTTGCATTTCAAAAAAGCTTTTCTATGTGTTTAACTGATTTTTTCCCTCATTTTTGTCACTCTTAAGACCACTTTCTTTTTCCCCCCCTCAGAAAACAGGTCATGACTGACTGTAGATATCTAGTAAAAAGTTTTGCCTTTTCCTCCACCCTGTTATTTCACTTCATGCATACCTTTTTTCATTTCCTCTCCTTGCAAACAAGCAATAAATTAACTAGTCACAACCTTAACCCTATCGATTATTTGATATCAATTCAATAATATCAATTATTTTCAGTTTAATAAATTGATGCCAGTTCTGACATAAACTGGTCCCTACCCTTAGCCACCTTTTCAAGTATTTTTGATGCATGTAACGCCCCATTGTCAAGACACTCCCAGAGCTACACCTCTCCAGCATGTTCCTATTCCCCTTCTCACACAATGAATACAAGCCCATTACGAGAGAATAATTGTGAAAATTAATTTCATTCCAAAATGACAAACTGTGCCCTGCTCAAATTATTCTGTGGATTTAAATTTCTCCTGTTCTGTAATAGCACATGAGAAGAAACAAAACAGTTCACAGACCCATTAATTGCTAACACATTGTTTAGAGCAGGAAGCAAATGCAGCGAGCACTAGGTTTTCAAAGCACCTCCCAGTATGGTAAAATCAGCCTTATTTTATAAATGATGGCAATTATATTGCAGGAAGAATACATATTATTTTTTACAATGAAAGCCCTCTATCAAGGCCTACATTTCCTAGTGGTTAGCCTCATATTTAATATACTAAACCTGACCTTCCTAATTCAAAAAATATCTTACCTGGCATCTCCTTTTGAAAGGTTGGTGTTTACGGGCTGAAGAATAACCTTGTTTGCATCCACATCCACCACACATTTTGTATGCAGATCAAGCTCTATAAAGAAATGAGAAAGTGTCAAGTGCTGCTCCTAAAGCTCCGGGATTATATACACCATTACTTCCTCCAGACACCAAATTTATTCATGCAGCCTGACAGCCACCCATCAGCTAGAGAATAGGAACAGGACTATTGCCAAATTCCACTTCTAGAGATATTCTGACGGGATGGATCCTGTCCAGCTTTAAAGCATGCGCTCTTTTCACAGGGAAGAAAGAGGTTTTACTGAAGGACAATCGGCATCTACAAGGCGGTATGAAAATTTCTTCTGGGGAAAAGCCCCATTAGGCATGGCACTGCCTTGACAGCTCTTCTCATTGCTCTCTCAATGCCTCACGGGCTCGGAGGCAAAGCTGCCCCTTTACCATCTGCAGCACATTTTCCCCGGCCGGCGTTGTGACACCGCGGCGTGCCGTGCCAGCTGTCAGTCCCGGGGCACCTGCTCGGAGAAATTCAAGGCCCATCAAAAATAATTTAGGTGGGAGTGTGTAGGAAAGGGCTTATCCTTCCTCCCCCCTACACCAGTCAGCTGGAACACCCACCACTTCCAAATGGCGCTGAGCAATGGGGTAGATACTATGAGTAATAAGGGACATTCTCAGCCATGGAGGTGGGGAAAACAAAATAAAAGCTTCAGCTAACACTGACAACCATCCAAGGTATCCACCCGATGACAAATGGAGTTAGATTTTAAAAAAAGCACACAGTCACTTGCAATCAAAGCCACTGCCTACAGACATAAGGGCCTGGCCATAAAGGAGTCCAGTCCCGTGTTCTTACACGCCGATGCTGAACCTGGAAAGTGCACCCAGATGCCGATAAACATGAGACACTAATGACAGCCAGCAGGTCTCTGCAACGCCCTCGCAGGCTGTGATGACGAGGGGCTACGCTGAATAACCTCCAAACGGGGTTCATACCTCAGCTGAATCACCAAAATATGCCCGTGTCTAAGCATGTTAATTATAATCCTCATCCTCCTCCATCTCCGCTCTTCCCTTCTTCGTCACCTGCACTTGCTCTTTCACCTCACGGCACCTTCTTATAAACTCAGACCGAAAAGCTCCCAGGCAAAGGCCACAGATCTTAACTATCACACAGCACCTTGCAGGCTTCTTGCCACTGTTAAATAACATAATGGGAGGAAGTTTATTCCACCGACGTTTTTTGAAAGAAACGTTATAGCCTTTTGCTACTTGAAACGCAACAAAGAAAGCCGAAGCTGGAGATTACTGGTCATCGCAGGCGGGCACATGAAACCAAAATCCTTCTGAACAAAACTGCTCCTCTGTTATTAAACTGTGCTTTTGTAGAAGGAAGAGACAGACAAGTTTCAGAAGCTAGTGTTTATTTTAATTTCCCTCCACACCCTGAAAGCCAATTTACCTACCATTAATATGCAGTACATACTCGCTTAGATGAAATTATATTCTTCATACATCCCATATCCGACAAGCCACTTTATCTTGGTCTGGCTGGTTAGTGATTAACATTCTGTATTGCACTGACCTGCTTTTCCTCAACTACTGAGGAAGGTTTTTACATGCTACTTCTTGTATGCAAAGCATGAGGTATAGATATTTTGTATACAATAAAAGCAGTATGGTCTCTATCAGGTTTTTTAATCCATCTCTTGAGAGAGAATGCTGATGGCAGGTTTTGCACCCATGACTGCCCGGTGAACTCAAGATCTCGCTAGTATTCATTACACCTCTTTGTGAAATACCTGTAAGAAAGCACACAGACGGGGTACAAAGAGTTCCTTAAGGTCAAATGTCCCCACAGGAAAAGAAGAAAGATTCAAAGCCAGTTTGTCACGTACGACACACCTTGTTGTCATCACAAAGGTAAGTTAAAATCCCTCACTTGGGCATCCTGCAGAAAGGGGACAGAGTGGAAGACGTGGTGAGCCAACCCAACAGCTATTGACAAATGGGAAGGTCTCGGTCCTTCCTGCTGGCTACCTGTGCCTGTTCCTCACCTTCCACCACTACTGTGCTCACCAGACCCCTCTGCAAGTCATTTTAAGCTACTTCAGTGGTAGAAAACTACCCAAAGTGAGAAATGGATGTGTTCAGATACTAAAGCTCCATCAGCCCAGTGAAAGCTCTGAAGAACATCAAAGGCCACGCAAACAAGTGGGTAGACCTGTATGGGGGAGAGAGGAGGTAGAAGAATGAGACTACCTTCCTGCTACCTCAGCTTATGGTGTCCCATGAAATAAACCCCTAAGAAAGAGTTATACTCAACCCCTAAGCTGGGTTACGTATCCAGAGAGCCTTAAGGCTTACTTATCCCAGTTACCTGGGCAAAAGACTCACATGGCAACTCTTCCTTTCAGCTGAAGAAATAGTTTAAATTCTGTTTTAAAATCACATCATACACTTTATAAAAGTTCTGGCTCCATAATAAAGCACATTCTTTGACTGATTTCTTTACTGCTTCCGGTAGGTTGAGAGATGAATCTTGTATTAGCCACTACTGAAAATCCTATCATCATAATTTCCACCCCATTAAGTTTTTAATACCACTAAAGCAGGTTAGGCTTATAGATAAATGATCTTCCTGCTCTTTTGGATATGATCACACACGGACTCCACCCTTACTTTTACTAGTATCAGTGTCTCCTAGGTAAGCAGTGTACTTGCTGCCCCTGAATAACGAGGATAATTAGGTTGCCTCAAGATAAGATGATAAGAATGTACATCCAAACCCACCGATTACTTCATCTTGAAGTAAGGACTCATTTATCGAGGCGTGATATTATTATTTCTTTCAACTATACAGGGTTTTTTCAGGCTGCATGAAATTTAGGCAAAGTTAAAAGATGACAGAAGTGGCTCACTGTCAAAATCCAGAGATTTATCCCATATCTTTTAGCCCAACAAGACTTAAAATCTCACCTATTATTATTGCTAACCTGCTTCTGCCTTCAGTCACTATCAAGCAAACACAATCAACTCCTCATTCGCTTCATCAAATCAAGAAACTAATCAGCTAATTGCTTTTTGAAAAATTAAAACTCAAACTCTCGTCATCTCAAGGAACATTTATTGCAGGGAATGAAAGCCTCTTTCATAGCTTCGGAGCAAAAGACAGCTGTGACATCCATAATAAAAGGGTGACACATATCTTAGTCACTTTTCCACATTTACATTTCACAGCTGTAGAATTGTTAAGCAAAGCTGAGTGCAAGAATAATTGTTCAGTCGTGTGCGTCCAAGCTACTCACAGAGAGTCTCCTGGATGACTTTTGATTTTATTTATGAAACTGGAAGGTGGGGCTTGAAGGAGGCCGTTTTTGATTTTATTTATGAAACTGGAAGGTGGCCGCTCTCCTTTTCATTTCCCTTGATTTTTCAACTCCTCACCAAAGTTTCCTGAGACAATAAAAACTAGGATTCAAGCAATGCAGATCTTAGCTGACACCACACTTGCGTGTAAATCCTAAATGCCTTTGATATAAGCCTCACGGGTGTTGTAAAGAGGATTCACACCACCCATATGCTCTTTGAGCTTTTTCACTACGCTAAAAAATCCGCTGCATTTCAAACAAGGTGGAAAAGTCAGTGAGCAAGAGAGAGGAGGGAAAGCAAAACCACCGCGTGCACTGGTGGATTCAGCAGGCACCAGTATCCTCCCAACAACAGGTAGGAGTTCACATTCCCTCTGGAACAGCAGTCATACGTCTGGTAATCATAAACTCAAGGTGGCAGCTCTTCCACAAGAGTGTTAGGAAACACTAGCAAAGGTCCAACTTTAAATGGTACTGAGCAGGTTTGGGGCAGAGATAAAGTGTGTTTGTGAATCCTGGAGGAAGGGAAGAGGAGAAGTATTTTGGAAAACGTGGGACGGTTTCCACTCTGGGAAACCTCCACCTTCATTTATAGATCAATTAGGGAACTGTCTTTGTGAGTTGGCCACAACTGATGACAACACTGGTTGGGTAACGATGTACCCAACTCACTCACTCATGCAGGGGTCTGGAATCCAACCCAGATGCATCGGGTGGTGTAATGAAAATACATGAACTGCCACACTGTGACACTGGGGCTTTTTCAGCCACTTCCCTAAAAAGTCACCCCACCTTTAAGGTTACTGCATTTCAGAACCAAACAAAATGATCCTTATAGATGGCTTTTACAGAGGAGATTGAAATAATCTTAAAATGAGAGATGATCTTAAAGGTCCCTTCCAACCAAGACAATTCTATGATACAGTAAATAAGTTTGTCTGTAATTTATTAAACTAATGGTTGAGAACATGGCATCGTAACAGCTTTTAGTACAACAGCCACAGTAACTGAAGTCTGTTACAACTTACTTGACCTTCCATATTTTCCTCTTTATATACTCTGTTTTTTCACATTGTGTAAGATGTATTAAGGGAAAACATTTCCCAATTCATCAAGGCCTTCTATTTCCATACACATTTTTTTTTTCATCAGATTTTAATTTTAGAAAATAGTTTCTGATGGTTGACAGTTTTTCAGCCCTTTCAAATACCATATGATCCTAAACCCCACTGAAACAAAGGTGTGAACCTGGCATTATATTTATTATATATAATAATATATATATATATTTGACCTGGCACGGGTCAAATAAAATTTGTGACAGGTTCCTCCTGGTCCCACCACAGGTTCAGGGCACCTACATGACACCGAAGGTCCCCTTGGAGACAGGACACTAAGCTCAACAGCGACACTGGGAACCAGCATGACTGCTCTTGGAGAATTTCAGAAAAACCAACTGAAGTATAAAAAATAAAATGTGAAAGGTGTAAAGTGCATGTACTAAGCTCATAAGCCAAAATTGTGCCCAAATACAAAAGCTCAAAATAATCTCCTGTAAAGACTGAGGCGAGAGAAATTTTATATTTTAAATTGCCAGTAGATTTTCGGGAGATTAACATTCCCTTGAAGGTTAGAACTGGAATGTTGTGGCCTGAGCCTTCAATTGTATTGAGAGAGAAATTAGTTAGTTTCTTGTACCTTT